TTACACATGGGGCACTTTACAGGGACACGTGGGGCAAGGTATTATTACAGAGCAAAGCAGCTTGTTCCAATGTAATGGCTTTTAAACGAGAACCTGAATATGAACATGATCTTTTAAAAGGGAATTAAATGGGGAAAGTTAAGTTCTTTAGTCTTTCCCCATCAGTCAAATAATGCACGTGACTAAAACAGTCTCTCCTCTATCGTAGCTTCCCCACTGTTTGATAGTGTGAAGTTGTAATCTCTTGCTTGTGAAAATCTTAAGTTGCCATGGAAACTAACATGGGTTGCCATGGAAATTGCTATGTCCAATTCAGTACTGCATCTTCAGAGGCTGAGGCTGGAAAGAAACAGCAACCCAAGCACAAATGTTTGTAGTGACATAGTAACAAATCCAGTAAGGGCTGTTTCACATATGACCTAAGGGGCTCTGGGAGGGGGGAGAATTCGTATGGCTGAGCACAGAGCCGACACACCTGCGAGGAAAGGTGACTGCCTCAGGCAGCAGGGTCCACCAGGGCAGCAAATCCCGATGCCAATCTTTCTTGCCCCACCTTGTTCCTGATGTAGATCTTCCCTGACCTTTTCTTCCCTGACCTCTTATTCCTTGACCTTTTCTTCCCTGGTAGGGAGTGAGGAGAGCATCCTATTGAGGTCTGCCTCAGGTGCCCACATGTCTTGGGCTGGCCCTGCCTGAGTGAATATTTTGCCTCCTGGGGGAGGAGGGTTATTGGTTTGTTTTGTTCTTCTTCTTGTTTTTATTATGTATTTTGTGTTGTTGTTGTTTTGTATTCTTATACTGTGAACCACCCTGAGATCTACAGATGAAGAGTGGTATACAAATTTAAATAACAACAACAATTATAACACTATCTTTGCAAAGTATACAGTATCTTCAGTTTAGTAAAGACTCGCCTCTTTATCCTGGCCTTTGAAAACTGAAGAACTCATTTTGGTGTCCTCCCTGTAATGAGCTATATGGAATTATTGTTTGGGGATTTTATGGATCGTGTTGGGTGTTCTTTTATTGTTCTGGCTGCACTGTGTTTTTAAATGCTGCAATCCATTCTGGGCCCTTCTGGTAAGAAGCACAACAAACAAACAACAAACATGTCCTAGGTATAAAGGGTGCTAAACTACACATGACAATGATTTAGAATCATAGGAAGCAAAGCAGATACTCAGCCACAGAACTACATCTGTTCCCAACCAAGCACAAGCGCTGTATCCCCCAATCACATGTAAGGATAAGGAATATGCAGGCAAGGGGTGATGTACTTGACGCATGCCCCCTTCCAGCTGCTTCTCTCCTTACAGGCTTAACTTCCATTACTGAAGCCCAGATAGGGGAAATGGCTTCAGGGGGTGCACTGCCAAGGGTTGGGGAGCCATCAGAAGGGGAATAATTCAATGGCCCTCACCCGCACAACCCTTTTGTGCTTTCAGTTACACTCCTCCACCACCACCCCACAACCCTCTTTAAGACATGGATCTATCACCCTCATGTGAAGTTGGACCTTAAGACTGAGGCAGGTCAAAGGCAAAAGGGTAGTGAAAACTCCAGTACTTTCAGCTGCCACTTCACACTTGCCTCTAAAATGTGATTTTGCAGTCTTAATAAATGCAGTGCTTTGCCATGGAGGTGGATTGGGGCTCATGACACACTAACAACGATGCAAATAATTTTGTACACCTTGTTGGCAATGGTAATGAGATGGAACTATTAACAGATGTAGTTCAGATTTCCAAAATGTGGGTCACATGGTCCCACTAGCAGGGCTTGCCAGAACTCAGTTCTGGCACCTCTCAGGTGGGCGCAATTGCCATGATAAGAGAACGAGGGAGGTGTTCATGGTGAGTTCCGGCACCTATTTTTCTAGAAAAGTAGCACTGCCCACTAGGATTACCAAAACAAAGAGGATGGAAGACATGGACTGCTGAGGGTGCAGTTATCTGAGAGCAGAGATAAAGTGATGTGTTGAACACAGGAACTAAAGTAATAACTGTAAGAAGGTTCATATGAAAACACAGGAACTAAAGTAAGAGAATAACTGTAGGAAGGTTCATATGAGATACTGTAAGCAGGACTGTGAAAAAACACAAAGGGAAGTAGTCAAAAGAGCTGAACAAGTGTGGGGGGCGAGGAAGACCCAGGTATTCAGCTCTGTTGGGCACAGATGTATTCTCGTAAAGTCTGAGTAGTGCTGATCTAAACTTTGCCCAGGGCCCCAAACCTTCTATGTTTTTGCAATGAAAACCAACCAAGCAAGCTGAGCTACCACTTCACAAGTGACAGACTGAGACAAACTGATAGGAATTCTCCCAAGGACACCAACTCAGTAATGGACTTTGAAAGCAGGCAAGGGTGCAGCTGTCTACTGTGGACCTCTCCTGCTCCCTTTCTGACAATACAACAAATACAACTAAAACTTTAAAAAGTGTATGCCTACTCAACTACACTTGCGAAAGATGCAAGAATGGGACACTTTGAGAAGAACAGTGTTCACCTTTAAAAAAATGAAAAGAAAAAAACTTGATATTTTTTGCTTATTTGTATAAGTTAAAGCACCATGGAATCATAGAATCATAGAATTGTAGAGTTGGAAGGGATTCTGAGAGTCATCTGGTCCAACGCTCTGCAATGCAGGAATCCTGCAAACAGCTGTCCCTGGGTGGATTTGAACTACCAACCTTCTGGTTAACAGCCAGATGCACTGACCCATTGCACCAAGAGTTTGCTAGAGGGAACCACTACAATCACAAAGTAATTGCTTCCACTGCATTCCCACACTTAGCTGTATGTGCACAGCCAGTAAAAGTGATAGGTAGATCAAAGTACGACAAGCACCTTCTTTACAGTGTTGCAGGAGCAAGAAAAATGAACACACAGAATTCAGACATAAAACTACCAACTGACAAGAGTCCCGATTCCTCAGCAGAAAAAATAACTCCCCTTTACAGCAGTGATCACTGCTACTGAAACACCTGTCTCTTTGCATATACTTGTTAGCATAGCTAGTACTGGCAGTGTGCCAGCAGCCCTCAGTCCTACTAAACACTGGAGCTCCAACTTGCATCATGGAGCAGTCTGAACCTCACCTCTCTGCTATGAGCATCCGGTAGCATTTAATGCATAATAATAATAATAATTTTATTATTTGTACCCTGCCCATCTGACTGGGTCTCCCCAGCCACTCTGAGCAGCTTCCAGCATATACAGAAACATAACAAAACATCAAACATTAAAAACTTCTAAAGGTTATATACAGTATATACATGTCTTTTAAAGAATATGTAGTTACTCATCTTCTTGACATCTGATGGGAGGGTGTTCCACAGGGTGGGTGCCAGCACCAAGAAGGCCCTCTGCTTGAGTCCCTGTAACTTCACTTCCTGCAGTGAGGGAACCGCCAGAAGGCCCTGGGTGATGGACCTCAGTGTCCAGGCTGAACAATGGAGGTGGGGACACTCTTTTAGGTATACAAGACCAAAGCCGTTTAGGGCTTTAAAGGTCAGTACCAACACTCTGAATTTCATATAGAGGCCTGGATTCACAAAGGCTACAATTGTGCGCACACACCCTTCAAGAAACTGGGGGGAGCTCACACAGACTGGACCATCCAGCACACCAGTTCCAAATATACTACCTAAGTCACGGTCAGGGGAAGGGGCATGCTCTCACTTCACAAAAGCAGAAAAGCACACCACTCAATACATGTCTGAAAACAAGCTTTATTGTCATTATGATCCATCTGTGATACACACAACTATGGAACGGGATTTTATTTAAAGTGTGATCTATCATTTAAGTATTATAATCTTGACCCATACAAAATTTCTGGTCATCCTAAACTTACGACAACTTCAAAACCTAGCTGCATAATGTACCCCTTTCTCTCTCTACTCATTCTCAAAACTGGGTAGTTTTGAAATCACCTAGGTGTTCCACATAATTAAAGCTGAAATGCCAGTCATTTGCCCATTGTCAAAATAGACCTATTTAGTGCAATGAGCAATTTCTCACAAAAAGGAAGCTATTAGAATAATATTTCTAAGTTTTGCAATGGCTTTCTGGCAGTCCATAATAGGTCATTTTTAATTCAATTTCATCCTTTTTAATTAACTCTTCCCAGAGGCATCATCACTGGGGGATTATTTCCATTTGAATATTTCATTGTATATTTTGAATCAGACTGACTAGGCAAATGAGACCATCGTACTCTTTCTTCCATCAGCTAGAGCAGCCTTTGACAACCTGGTGTCCTCCAGATGTTTACCATCAGTTCCAGCCAACACAGCCAACATCTGGAGGGCACCAGGTTGGCGTAGACTGAGTTGGACCACGTTGCCCTAACCCTCAAAGAAAAAGTGCCTTTGAAGAAAGACAATGATAACAAATTTATTATTTTAATGCACACACTGAGCATTCTGCGCAAGAACCACTATGCAAGAGGGCAACTAGAAGTGGAGAAATGGTGCACGATTTACAATTTAACTTCATTTTTCACCCTTCCGAGTTATGGAGTTGTAACTCACCAAAAGGCATCAGGGTGCCCTCTCCCCTCTGCAATAAAGGGCCCCACAAGGAAGGGGTAAAAACTTTATTTATTCTGATTTAATGTGAAAGCAGGAGCCAACTCCAGGGGCCATGGGTGCTTGGGCACCCACAATAATATAATTGTGGGTGCTGGGCACCCACAAAGTCAATGAGAAAAGCTGGCAGGCGGCAGTGATGCTGCTTCTAAGAGAAAGGCATTTCAGTTCCACCCTTCACATCCAGCAAGCGAGGCACCCTTTGGGGGGGGGGGCTCAGATACAGAGGCAGATTCTCTCTGCCTTCGAGTCTGAGCCCCTTCCCACGGAGAGGAGGAGGAAGAGGAGCCGCCACTGCAACCTGGATGTGTGAATTCACATGCACATGCCTGTATGTAATGTGTGTGATGTCACAGGCATGTTCATGTGACATCGCACGTCTGTGTTGTGGCAGCAGGCACCTACAATGCTGAGATTGAGATGGCACCCCTAGGGAGAATTGCTGCTATAGACCCGTTAAGAGCAGGAGTCTCCAAACCCAAGACCCAGCGACTTACTCGGGGCTCTGGTATGACCCATGGCAACACCCGTAACTGCATGGAACACACACTATTGAGCCATCTACAGGGGAGAAAGCCACTGCTCCCCATAGCAAAAAGGGGGGCAAGAACAAAATACAGTAGATGTTATCAAGGTGAATGCATGTGGCTCCCATTTGCTTATGTGCTGAGAGATAAGAGGAATACATGGTGTAATTGGTGAGGGCAGCTAGAGTGAAGATTAACCTTATGTGCAGACTCTGGTTCCTCCTTCAAAAGTCTGTCTCCCGTCCGTCCGCCCCCCCCCACGTCCTTTTTCACAACTCAGATGGGGTGGGTGGGGGGAGATTGACTACCAGAGACAGCATTTGCAGGGAGAAATCAGAGGGGGAGGGTAAGCTCCCTTGCTGCCCACAAATTCCCCCCTCCCAACTCCATCATTATGGGAGGAGGGATTTACAGTAGGGGAATCCTGTGTTTTCCTCGTAACATTTTGTTCCATCCTGACTCATCACTACCTACCACTACTATCTGGCACAGAAAACCCCACTGATTCCTTTTGACAGCTGACTTTCTGGAATACTTGTGCCTGGGATCTCCAGGACATAGTAGGGAGATGAATTTATACTTCTGCTTATCCTATTCATTCTATAAATGTTTCACTTTTTAGGAAATGTATAATTCTGCTTATCCTATTCATTCTATATATGCTTCACATTTTAATAAAATAGATAACTTGGAGCTGCAGTAGCCATTTTTAATGTTAGAAAAGCATTACAGCACAATCCTATCAATGCTTACTCAGAAGTAGGACTGCATTTAATAGGGCTTACTTCTTGGAAAGTGTACATGGGTTTGCAGCTTTTGCCTCTAAAATGGGGAAAATTAGATACAGCAGTTTTGACATGTTATCCATTAACTGGTGGTAGAATTTATTTTTGGAAATTGAATTTTATGCAGTTGATATATCAAGTGAACAATAAGAGGTGGTTTCTGGGCAGTTGTTAGATTGTGAATTTGGTCCTTTGCTACAGCTTTGTACATTTCTACTGCGAATGTGCAATACTAAGAGGAACGCTAATGCATTTCTCAGTGGTTTGCAGGTGGGAGAAAAGAGAAACCTAAAAAAAAGACTTGTGCTCACCATCAAATGTATCTAACCTAACCTATTATGACTTCCATGAACAGGAACGCAATTAAAGATGCAAGTGTTTAAAATGTAGAAAGGAAACTGGTAGAAAATGGTCATTGAAACAAGCGTGGATTGAACATCCAGGGAAAGAGATACCTGCAGAAAGACCATCCGTCAATATATGATTTTTTTAAGAAAGAAAAAAAGTGACTCAGTATGAGAGAAACCTTAAAAACAACAAAAGTCAAAGAGAAGGAAAGGCAGAGGAGCAGGAAGCCATCAGTGAGGCTCCTAGCTGTAGGAGTGGGAATGAGAAGTGGGAATGAGAAGTGGAGTGTGGCTCTTTGTCTTTGTTCATCCTTTTGCATGATCTCTCTTTCTCATTTCAGCCAGACCCCACTGGCACTTCCTTTGTCTATCAATCCCATTGTGTTTGGCTATCGGGACAAAATCCTCTTTATCTTCAAAGAAACAAGAAAATAAAACATCTCATCAGATTTTGAAAGGTTATCAAAATCACACTTAGAAAGGATTCGCAAGTCTATGTTTTTAAAAATTGATGGAGAGAGGGAATATTTTTTAAAATATTTGCTTGGAATCAAGGAGTGGAAGGAACAAATCCTCATGATCCGTTTGTCAAGTCCATGCAATACTGCAGTGACTGGAAGTTTTGCTTTTCAAAGAAGAAATTAATACATTTCCTTCAAAATGCAGATATGTATTTTTTTCTGCTTCAGTGACAATGAGCTGTTAAAACTGCACTTTGTCAACCTATTGTTTTCTTAACAGCAAGCTCTTAACTGCATGCATGAATGAAAGAATGAATGAGCCTTCTGTGGAAAATATGCATCATACAACATCACTATTTCAGTAGATTCAGCAATGTCAATAGTTGCTCAAAATAATATAGTAAGAACGACTTGTGGGGCAAGGTAAGAAAAACACCATTCAGAGATAAAAGAAAAAGAATCTCTTTTAAAACGGCCTTTTTAAAAAAAAAAAAAAAAGTGAAGACCATTACTTTCTTTGTCATAGTAATGAATTCTGGCTTGCACTTCCCAGGGAAATGAGAAGCCGAAATAGTACATTTCTGTCTTGATTAGATTCGTTTTGAACACGCCAATGCAGATAGCTTGCCTTTTCTGCCTGACATTAGTAAAGCTAGATTTTTTAAAAGGAGCAATAACATTTTCATTTACTAATCAATTTAAAGCAAGGGCGAATAAGGGCACAATAAGGCACACCGTGGATAAAGATTAAGACAGTGAGTCGGTATTTAAATGAGAAACCTGCTCCTGATACTGTTAGTTACAAAAAAGCAAAAACCTTAGGGTAAATAAAGAAAGAAAGAAGGGAGGAATGCAGACATTTTAAAATACCACCACCAATGAAGTTCTTCCTGTGCCCAGTCAGAAAGGACAAAACGATGAAGGGGAAACTGCTCTTCATTCTCCTGTCTTGCTATACCAACTTCCATTGCCAGCTGTGAATTGCTACAGCTAAGTAAGACAAGAGGCAAGAGAGATACCTACCGTATTTTTCGCTCTATAAGACGCACTTTTTCCCCTCCAAAAATGAAGGGGAACTGTGTGTGCGTCCTATGGGGCGACTGCAGGCTTCGCTGAAGCCTGGAGAGCGAGAGGGTCGGTGCGCAGGGACCCTCTCGCTCTCCAGGCTTCAGGAAGCTATCCGCTAGCCATGGGAGACCCAGCTCTCCCACGGCTAGCGGAGACCTGCCAGCACCCAGAAGCTTGGGGCGCGCTGAGCTCCGCACGCCCCAAGCCTCGGGATTGCGCAGTGCTCCGCTAGCCCTGGGAGAGCCGCGTGGCTCTCCCACGGCTAGCGGACTGCTTGCCGGCACCCAGAAGCTTGGGCGCGCTGAGCTCCGCACACCCCAAGCTTGGGTATTCGCGCCGCGCTCCGCTAGCCCTGGGAGAGCCCCGCGGCTCTCCCACGGCTAGCGGAGACCTTTCTGGCACCCAGAAGCTTGGGGCGCGCTGAGCTCCGCACGCCCCAAGCTTCGGGCTTAGCACAGCGCACCTGGGGGGGAAATAAAAAAAATTTTCCTTTATTTCCCCCCCAAAAAACTAGGTGCGTCCTATGGGCCGGTGCGTCCTATGGTGCGAAAAATATGGTACTTAACAAGGGTTCAAAATCTCACCGTGTAGGCCACAGGCAGCAAATGTATGACTGTCCAAACCTTTTTGGACTCACGCCCATCAGCGAGCCAGCAAGGCTAATGGCTCAGGGATGATGGGAGTTGTAGTGCAGCAACATCTGGAAGGCCACATTTTCCCCCTCCTTGATGCAGACCAAGGTGTCTTTCAGTCTCCAACATTCCAGCATTTCTCAGGCTGAAGGAAGTAGAACTTTTATTACATCATGAGAGGAACAGCTCTAAGGATCCTTTCTCACATTTGCAATGACTCCTTCCTGGGCCATAAAGGTAAATGTCAGAAGCCCAGAGCTGCATTGGAAAGGTCCAGCTGCAGACATCCTGTTGTATCAGAATCATTCTTCCTGCAAGCTTGGGCTTCTTCCTTGCCTTACATGAACACAGCCTTAACAGTGAGTCCGTGAGTGGCTGTGGAGGCCAATTCTGGAGACACACGTCCTTCCACAGAGGTGACATAAGTTTTCACGTGGGCTTTGATCACGGTGAGGGTTTGCCAAATATTGGCAACACCAGCATGAGGAACAGCCATTGTGTGGGCTCCTCCCAGGCAGCCCAGGACTTTTGGGGCACAGAAATGAGCCACATAACATAATGGTTTCCTTGCTTCAAGCCTAAGAATAGGGTCTCGGCTGAGTCTAAATAATGTGAATAAGCAGCTTCCTGTGGGGCACTTTTGCTGGCATACGCTTTAAAGACTTTCAAAACCAACTTTCGTTTCTGTGCCACCACGGGCATCCTTGCCTCTTGACACACATACAAACAAATTTATAAGTTACTTCTACTTTGTTTATCAGTTGAATAGAGCAACCACATACTATCATTTCAGAAATCAGTTTACACCCCCCAAAAAAAGTGTTCAGTCCAGTTCTAAGGCAAAAGTGATATTCTAATAGCCAAACCAAACATTTTTGAAAGTGTGGTTCACTGTGAGGTACGCGTACGATAAAAAAGGAGAAAGTAGCTACACTGTATTGTCTCAGTTGAAAGAAATGTGAATGAACACTACTGGAAAAAGATGCAAGTGGGATCTAGACCAGGAGGGGATAGGCTGTGGCCCCTCCAGACACTGCTGGGCTTGAACGCTCATCAGCCCCAGCCAGCACAGTGAATGGTTAGGGATGACAGGAGCTTTAATCCAACATCTGGTGGGCCACAGGTTTTCTATCACTGATACAGGCTGTGGAGGAGGAAGGTGAGTGGAATCTAGTAAGTGAAGAAATAAGAACGTACAGTGGTACCTCAGTTTTTGAACATCTCTGTTGACAAACATTTCAGTTTTTGAACGCCATAAACCTGGAAGTAAATGCTTCATTTTTCGAACACGCCTTGGAAGTTGAACATGCCATGCGGCTTCCGCTGAGTGCAGAATCCTGAGGCCTAGCTGTTGGCTATTGAGTTTTTGATTTTCAAACGTTTCAGACCTCAAATGGTCTTCCAGAACAGATCACGTTCAAAAACTGAGGTACCACTGTATTTTTGCAGAGCCTGGCTAGCCTCCAACTAGAAGCCCTGTGATCTTCTAACAGAGTATCCACAATGATTCTACCAGAATTTAACTTTGTTTCAACCAGCTCTGCCTCCAGCTCCACAGCTAGACTTCCTTGCCCAACTCTACGTTCCACTTCTTGGCTTCATTAAACTCCAGCAATTGCCTGTCAGTCCAGCTATATTACTGTCTTGCATACCCAGTAGTATTTTTCTGGACTGGGAGGTTCTTGTTTCTGTCTTGCAGACTTCCCACTCTGCAGTGCTACCAGGTACTCCACCAGGACTATGGAGTAGGTTCCAGACTACCCTCCCAATTGAGCTGTTCACTTACCATATTTTCCGCCCTATAGGACGCACTTTTCCCCCTCCAAAAACAAAGGGGAAATCTGTGTGCGTCCTATGCGGAGAATGCAGCCTTTCGCTGAAGCTTGGAGAGCGAGAGGGGTCGGTGCGCACCGCCCCCGCTCGCTCTCCAGGGTTCAGGAAGCTATCAGCAAGCCTGGGGAGCCCGCGGGAGTTCCCGCAGGGCTCCCTAGGCTGCAGATAGCAGCCTGCTGCACGGAGCGGGGGGTGCGCTGAAGCAGAGCGCCCCGCACTTCGGGCAGACACCCGCAGCCTGCTGCACGGAGCGCGGGGAGCGCTGAAGCAGAGCACCCCGCGCTTCGGGCAGACATCGGGCAGCCCCACAAGCTCAGGGGACAGCGGGGAGGCGCAGCGCCGCCATCCCACTGTTCCCCGACCTGGTTTGGAGGCTGGCATGGGGAGAAGCGCGTTTCTCCCCAGCGCCAGCCTCACAAGCTCGAGGGAAAGCCGGGAGGCGCAGGGCCACCACCCCACTGTTCCCTGACCTGGTTTGGATTCCCCGACCTGGTTTTGGGGGGGAAATAAAGGAAAAATTGTTTTCCTTTATTTCCCCCCAAAAAAACTAGGTGCGTCCTATGGGCCGGTGCATCCTATGGGACGAAAAATACGGTACCGGTACTTCAATTTCGGCTTCTTGAACCCAGTCTTAGAGTACTGGTTATTTTCAGTTTTGGTCTCATTCACACTGAATGAGTGTTAAATCTCAGGTTGCTTAGCGAGCCCTAGAACTGACATCCAGAGAACCTTTGACAGTACTGGTGCAGTGGAAAAGCATTGCCACCACTGCTTGTCCAGCTCCATCATTCCATGTTCCTCATGCTTAAAATGAGTAGGAATCTAATTCTGCTCCACAGTAAGAAACAGAAAAGGTGCAGAAATGATGGGACTCTAGAAGGAATAGGGTGGGAGGTGGAAGAGTTAGCACCCTCTCCTGCTGTATAAAGCAATTGAGATGGCTCAGTCAATACAGCATGAGACTCTTGATCTCACATTGGGCAAAATATTCCTGAATTGCAGGGGTTGGACTTAGATGACCCTCATGGTCCTTTCCAACTCTATGGTTCTACTACATTAGGTAAGAGGTTGCAACCTGGCAATCCTAGTAAGCCCAGCATGTGCTTTACTCTTGGATTGTCAACTCATGTCTACATTCAACAGCTTGAGTCGTGGCTTGAGCTGCTGTGTTATCATTATGTGATGGCTATTTTACCATCAACACAAGACCAAAAGCGAAATTAATATAACATTTATCATGCCACTGAGGGCTGAATGTTCTGGGATGGAATGTCATTCTCACCAAGGAAACAAGAGTTCGCTTGTGATTAAGACTTCATATTTCCCTTGCTTGAAATTTGTGGTGTGTGTGTAAGAAAGAGCAAAAGCTCCCAAAACAATGACGACCAGAACAATTGCTTGAAAGCAAGCTTTTTCAGTAAACAAGCAAATAGCTAGGGCTTGTTTTTGCAAGGATGTATTAAAAGAAAATAAATGTCAATTAAAATATTTTAACATCAAAGGCAAATTTCTCTCAAGTTACAGGCAACAAACACTTGAATTTGATTATTAAATTGAAAAAGCTTTAATTAGCCCACGTCAGTTTGCCTTTTAAAAAAATGAAAACATCCTATGCTAAATATACCTCTCAAGGTTTATTTTAACAACAGTATTTTATACACACTCATACAAATTAAATACAGTGTCCTTGAATCCATTTCAGATATACACAAAGAACTTCAGCTTTAAAAAAGAAGAAGTCCCACAGGATCACAGATGTCCCACAGATGTACCTAGGAGTACACCTCACTGTACTTGACAGGGCTTACTTCCATGTAAACATGCATGGGATTGCACTGTCACTCTCGTAATATCTCACACATTAGCTAGTCCTAAAGCTGAGTAATGGATATATAGCCACCAAACAGAATTTTTTCTAACCCAGTGCTTTCCACTCTGTGCTCCTAGAAACACTACCTAGGTCTAGGCAACCTACAACCCAAGGGCCACCTAGCAGTGTAACATGAGTTGCTGGTGCCCAGAGCACGCAAGCCGCTGACACCACCAGAGCACGCTGTTCCCCCCACTGGAGCCAAATTACTTTCATTTGTAACATGTAGTTAGCCCTTAAAGGTTCACTCACATATGAACACACTTTAGACCACATCACTCAATGCTTAAGGTGATCTTGTGAAATGATCATATAGCCACAATGAGCCACATTATCATCTTCCTCAATGGTTTTCAAACTGTGTTTCAAGCAACCCTGTGGTTTCTCAGAAGTTATAGCAGGGGTTCCATAATATGATGATCAGTAACAGCAGACAAACTTCCCAGAAACACAGCTTAGGGCTTGTCATAGAAAGCACAAGTCCAAGCAGTTTTTCATTCGTCCCACACTTTCTAGGCACAGGTCTGAGTGGTTTTGCCTTTGCCCGCCACTTTCCCCTGGAAAACCTGCTCTTTAGCACTAAATCAGAACAAGCAGAAATCAGATTGCTGATTGTTCTGATTCAGCGCTGGGAAAAACGACAGCGCAAATGGAGGTGTGGGTGAGTCCTTGTTCACCACTATCAACCATCTGCTGCGATGCAAAGGCATGAGGGAGTGTTGGGAGAGTCCCAGGGAAATGCATTCAGTTGCATTTGGGTGTTAAGTCTGCATCTCAAAATACTCCCCAGAATCCTCTGCAATGAACAGGGGTTCTGTGGCAGGAATAAAGGAGGTCCCTAGAAGACAAATGTGGAAAGGGTGTAGTAAAGGAAGAAGGCTTTAAGCTCATATATCTAGCAAAGTGATTACTCAGAGAAGCAAAGGTTCAGAAGAGACTTCCTTCTCTATAACAGACACTCCAAAAGGGATTGGGCCAATAATAGTGAAGACAAAGCCATTGCTCTAATCTCTCAAAAGAAGTCAAAGTGAAAGCCTCACATGCACCCCAGCTACTTATGTTCTCTTCCAATGTCTGCTGTTCATATTTTTCTTTTTCCTGAAATAAAAAGAATACTATTACATTTTTTTGTTTAGGATGGGCAATGCGTGAGGCACTGTGATCATTCACCTCTGTCTTTACTAAAATTCCATTTATATTTCCCAGGGCAACCTTACTCTTGCAATGAGTGAAAGGAAACCTTACTGAAAACTAAAATCCCTTACTTTTCACTTCCTGAGATGTGAAGCAGTCAATATTTTTAGTTCTGTATCTGCTTCTCTCTCTTACCCAAGTAGAAACACAAATCTAAAATCAGAAGTATTTTAGCATTTAGTTAATTTTGCTGTAGTATCTCCCCCCCTTTTTTTTTGCGGGTAGGGGGACAGAAATTAGAACTGTCTTAGTATAGTGTCCAAATATACACATTATGTTTTTTGCCTACACATCAAATTAGCAGGCTCTGAAAAGGACTACATCTTACTCTAAGAAAATTATTAATCTATGTTCCCATTGTGTGAGACATAAAGAAAATTCTGTGACCTAGAAATTACTGCATTTATAATGAACTATGTTGCAGATAACTGTGACACTTTGCAATTACCCACTTATTTCCTTCTGTATCAAAGCTATTAACAGAACGGAGAAGGATGCTCCAGCTTCGAGGAAAATCTCAAGGGTGGAATGGCTGAAATAATACAACGTGGAGCAGTGTGTCATCTGCCCTTTAGCACCATTCTGCTTCCAGAAAGCAAAGGAAATTGGTGGATGTGAAGGAATGAAGGCCTGAAGCATTTCTTAATGACGGCTACTCAAGGTCTCAATCATCAGGCTATCTTACATTGTATAGTCTAGATCAAAACTACTTAACAGTTCAAAATAAACCTTATTAGCTGCTGCAACATATGAAAATGGCAAGTAATCATTAAACAACTCACTACTAGACTGGTCAGCAGGTCAACCAAGGGCAGTCAGTCTAGGGTCCAGATCCCATTCTTCCCTTCTCATTTTCTTCCCTTTCTGATGTCAGACTCATAGATTCATAGCTGGATGAAGCTAAAACTTTGAGACTGGAGTGCTGCTTGTCCTAGGATGGTATGAAGGTTGAGGGTGGGAATTCACCCTTCACAAAGTCAGACAGCAGGGAGTTCATTTTAACAGGCTCTTGCTCCCCTTTAAAAATGTGTATATGTGTGTCTGTGTTGTAAGTAGTCCATGCCCACTACAAAGTGCAAATATATTGAGAAGATAGGAAATCTTAAGTAGGCTGCAAAAGGAAGAACCAATGTGATGCCTTTATTTTCTTACACACTAGAGTAATCTGGAAATAGAAGTAACAATGTCCCCAGCAGGTCCTGCATTCCCTTTTCTTTTTGCTGGCAAATCACTGCCATCTCACCCTTTCATGTTTTTGGCACCCACTGCGAGGGTTTACGCCTTTTCTTCACTCACATACCTAGGTGGTAGTGTAAGCATAATCTTCCCATCACCTTGGGGGCACCTGGAGTTGTTCCTATACATCCGCTTCCACCTCATCCCTCTGTCACTCTCACAGCTGTTTCATCTGGAACATCCCTACCACAACATGCAAGCTCCAATGTGCACCTTCCGAGCTCCTCCCATAATGTAGCTAGGAGCTGCATTGCAAAAGTCAGTGTTAGACAGGGGACAGGATATTAGAGCACTGGAGGTAGCAGGGAAGCAAATGGCTAGGTTGGGGGCTGTGCTGATGCCCTGCCTGTTTCCCAACACTCTTTATCATGTGCCAGTCTCTGGGGGTCTTTGTAGGAGGAGAGGACTGTGAGCAGAGTGAGCTCTTGACTTGGGCCCAAGTCTGAATGTAACGGTGCCACTGCCTGGTATGGGAAAGGAACATCGTCCAGTTATGAGAAGACAAAAACTCCAATGCAAATCCTCATTATTACATATTTTACATGGCTGTTTATTTGTATATATTTTAAAATTTGTTCCTGAGAGAAGTGGACCCAGTGCCAACTAACAGTCCCCTCCCCCAGTTGCTAACCAAATGCAAGGAAAGCGTGTGGACAGGGTGGGAAGGGGCATTGCAGTAGTCCACTTTAAGAATGGAGCAGGTTAAGGTGTGCAAAAAACCAACAATCCTCCATCCTCTTCTCAGAGTGGTCCTCTGTGCTGAATAGCACTGTCTCCACTTTCATTCAAGGTGGTGATGAAGCAAATACAAAAACTCCATCTTTCATTGCAGCAACTCTTGCCAGTTGATTATTTGCCTTTATAGCAGATTGGCAAAATCAGACACTTCTCTCAGGAACAAATACATTGTCCAAGTGCATTATGTCCTAACCACAGAAAGGTTACAAAACTCTAAGAATGACTCATAAAACCATTACTTAGCCTCTTGGACACTATGTATTCAGTATGAGGGAGGGGAGGAGGAGACGACCTATGTTTCATCTTAGATTTACATTGAACATTCTTCCTGTTCACTTTGACTCACAATTTGTTTGTGTGAAGAAGAAGAGTTTGGATTTGATATCCCCCTTTATCACTACCCGAAGGAGTCTCAAAGTGGCTAACAATCTCCTTTCCCTTCCTCCCCCACAACAAACACTCTGTGAGGTGAGTGGGGCTGAGAGACCTCAAAGAAGTGTGACTAGCTCAAGGTCACCCAGCAGCTGCATGTGGAGGAGCGGAGACACAAACCCGATTCACCAGATTATGAGTCCACCGCTCTTAACCACTTCACCACACTGAAGCTTTGTTTAATGGGGAAAATGTAACACTGATTATTCTTATATCCACTGATGGTGGTGGTGGTGATATATTTATTTGTACTTCACTTTGAGGGACTTGAGGTAGTGTACAGATAAAATAGGAACAGCTAAAAACATAGAAAAAACCCTCACTCATTTAAAAAAACAATTAAACGTGTATAGAATGAAAACTCTGTGTGTGTGTGTGTGTGTGTGTGTGTGTGTGTTTTCTATTAAAAACACACAGATAATTACAATAAAAACAGCATGTTTCCCAAACCTGTTGGAATAAGCTGGTCTTCAACTGGTGGCAGAAGCACAACAAGGAGGGAATCAGTATAACTTCTCTAGGGAGGAAGTTCCAAAGTCTGGAAGCAGCCACTGAGAAGGCCCTCACCCACATCCCTCACCCACATCCCCACCAAGCAGGCCTGTGAGGACAGCAGGACCGAGAAAAGGGCCTCCCCTCAAGATCTCAGAACCCAGGCAGGTTCATATGAGGTAATGCTGTCTTTCAGTTAGCATTGGGTCTTTCAAATAACACTATTATTATTATTATTATTATTACTTACAGATGAGCTGAGATTTAAGAAGGGCAAGTGTAAGAAATAAAAGAAAGGGGAAAATCATGATGGACAAATATACACAAGTAGCCAACACTTGCCGGGATAAGGCCAAGTGGACCAAAGCTTAGAATGAACTCAGGCTTGCAAGAGAGGTTAATAATAATAATAATAATAATAATAATAATAGATTTATTGAGCTATGTTTGAAGCAAAAGGAAGAACAAACAAGTAGTAGGTCCTTTGTGTGGAGAAGATAGAAATGCTATTGTATAACAGAGAGAGGGCAGAACAGCTCAAAACCTCCTTTGCCTCTGTATTCACCCGAAAGGAAAGCAATGCCCAACCTGGTGACAACGTAATAAATGTTGTAAGGAGGGAGCTGCAGCCCAAGATAGGAAAAGAGGTGGTACAGGAAGACCTAGCTACTTTAAATGATTCAAATCTCCAGGGCCTCAGGAGCTGTACCCAAAGGTACTAAAGGAGCAGATTACACCAAGCTAGAAGGGGTAGCTAAGGCTACAGAAGACAGAATTGGGATTCAATATGACCTTAACAGATTGGAGAACTGTCCCCAAATTGACAACATGAATTTCAATAGGGACAAATGTTTTAACAAACAAAATCTTCTACTCCTTATTTTTTTGTTCCATTAATGCCTTGACAAATTGCATATGGCATAGACGAGAGAACTGAGATATTAATGGGCGCAAAGACTATTATTGAAAAGGCCACAGAAACACATTGTAACAAAACAGAAATAGCAAGAGAATATCTATAACATCAGTCTATAACAACAAAAAATAGTGCTAAGATTAATAAAATATGTGGCAAATCCATATACTTGTGACAGCAAGATATTTGCTATGTTGAGAGAAAACTCTAGTATATGGGATAGCAGCGTTAGCAAGTTTTCTTTAAAATAATGCACTTAGCTTACAAAAAAAACCCACATAAAATCTGATGGGGATGTCCTGACTCACAACTCAAACACCCAAATCCTAGTCATACTTACCTTGAAATAAATCTCATTAATTCCAGTGCAACTTATTATAAGTAAATACGCTTAGGATTCCAGCCTCGGTCAGGTTTAGAATACAGATAGGCAACTGGCTCAATCCACTTCCCTGAGGGCATCCAAAGCATCATCCAACACAGACCCTACTCCAAAAAAGACCTCCTTATATTATGCACCTCACCCATTTCCCCCATCATGAGCTGAGACACACACAAATGGCTCTTTAACAGCCTCCACATAGTTTCAGCGGCAACAGAAGCTTTGGCAGAGTTTTCCCATTACACATGTCAGATCTAATCCCCTTATGACAGCCAAGATACAGGCAAATAATATGTGTGAGCAGCTCTCCATCAAAGTCTTCTTTTTGCTGCTTGCAAAGAGGAGCTGAAGCCGGTAAAAAGCCACCTGTCTGCACTTCGACATGGGCCACAGGAGTAAGAAATGAATGACACCTAGGTTGCTGGCCTTCTAGACCTTGTTCAGTTCAAAAGATGGCCCTTGTTAAAAAAATTTGTTGCTGATCAGCAATTTAGGATTTGTGGAGCACAAAATAACCCTACCTTAGCACTATAAGAGCCACAGCATCATAACCAGGCAGCTGACTGAAGCAGTCACACTTTGTTTACCCCGAGGCCAGGCAAAGGGCTTGAAGGGAAAAGAGGAAACATGGTGGATTCTTCGGATGTAATTAAGCATTCCTGAATCTAGCACAGTTGATTTTAAACACTTTGTAGGAATGCTTTCCAAATCAATTTGTCTGCTGAGGAACATCTGAGAATGCAGAGGATTCTGGGGCAAATTCTGAGGTCATCATAGTCATCATCATGCCGCCCATCTGACTGGGTTGCCCCAGCACAAACACTTTGAATTATGCTCAGAAACGTACTGGGAGCCAATGCAGATATTTTAGGACCAGTGTTATATGGCCCCAGCAGCTGCTCTTGGTCACCAATCTGGCAGCCACATTCTGGAACAGTTGTAGTTTCTGAATCACCTTCAAAGGTAGCACCATGAAATCAGTATGTCTAGAGTACTGGCCAGGTCTGATGAGTTTCACTATCACCCTACATGTGTCCAAATCCTGGTGGTGTAGAACCCACAAGCAGGTCGGGAGGGTCTAAGTCCAGCAGGTAGTCTGGGAAGGAAAAAGATAAGGATTCCTGAAAACAACAGTGGCTGTTTTCAGAACCCTGGACAGAACCCAAAGAGCAGCCTGGCATGTTCTAAAAAGACCTTGGTCTCAACTGAGCTCTTACTACTTTTTCTTGGCAGTGAGAGGTCAAATAATAAGGGCTCACCAGCCCCGTTTCCTCCCTCTCTCCTCTCCCAACCTTATACTGTATTCAACACAAATGTCTCACATCAAATGTAACTGATCTGGGGGGGGGGGGGGGTCCTACAACCTGAAAAAGAGGTGATGCACATACTTTTGTAACCTAAGAAAATCTTTAATAAAAATTATTTTTTTAAAAACAACCTCAGCCCTTATTACACTTCCTGAGTCTAACTAGCTCTCTCAAGCAGCAGCATCCCCTTAAAGTGACAGTCCTCTAGCCTGGCGCCTAGTTCTCTGTCACATCTGCAGGGCCTCAGGCTGGG